GGCTTATTCAGGTTGTGGACAGAACTCAGAATTAAGACTGTTTCCTTTCTGGCTGATGGCTGAGGTTTGCTGGCATCTGCATCCAGATGGAGCTATTCCCCTTCCCCACCCCCCAACCCCCACTGGCTCATGGCCCCTTCACCTTCGAAGCCAGCAAAGGCAGGTCCAGTTCCTCCTGCGTCTCAACCACCTCCCACTCCTGCATTTAAGGACCCCCATGGTTACAGCGGGCTCACTTGGTTATTCCAGGATAGTCTTCATATTTATTTATTTATTTTTCCATTTTTTAAAAACTGAAATATAGTCAGTTTACAATGTTGTGTCGATTTCTGGTGCACAGCATAATGTTTCAGTCATACGTATACATACATATATTCCTTTTCATATTCTTTTTCATTCTTGGTTACTATAAGATACTGAATATAGTTCCCTGTGCTCTACACCTGTTTAGCAAACTGAATTCCATCTGTAAGTCCCCTTTGTAATGTGCAGTAACATATTCATAGGTGGAACAAGAGGAGGAGGGAGGGGCAAAAATCATGGGGACCACATCCCACCTACCACAATATATATTTCTTAGTTCTTTTGTTCTCTGTCAATCTTCCCCCTCTAAAATCTGATTCGGTGGTATCCCCATGCCTAGAACAGTGCCTGGCACACTGTAGGAATTCAAATATTTGTTGAATGAATGAATGCAGACGGGATAATTAGCATGGACATCTGCCTTCCTACTGGTACACATCAGAACTTTCTCATCCTCATTAACAGATGGCCTTGGTTTTCTCTTTAACCTGAATTTATCCAGCCAGTGTGGTTTTCCCTGGCTCTCACACACCACTGGTTACAGCTCTGCTCATGAAGGGGGATGGCAGCACAATGACGGCAGATTTTCATGGGACCTCCTAGTTGACACACAAGAGACACATCCTGGACATGGGGCGCAGAAGGAACCACAGGCTGGGGCAGAGCTCGGGGGCCAGCACAAGCCATGGCGCCTCCGTGGAGCTCTACCCAGTGGAGCTAAATATCCAATGACTTCTTGAAACAGAACTCTTCTGGGACAGTAGAGCTAGTCATGGAAATGCGTTAAGCATTGTTTTGCTCAGAAAAAAAAATTAACGCTTAATCTGCACATGTCAGTTATCCAGTGACAGTTTCCGAAAACGAATCATCTGGATGTTTCTAAAGATTCCATTGCTCAGTGTTATGCAGCCAGCCTAAATCCCCAAGTGACAAAGATCCGAGCTGGTGCGCAAAGTCTGAAGCATACACAAGTAACAGATTTGCCATTTGGGTTACAGTGTGGAAAAAAAGTCTCTGGAAACAGATTTATGTATTAGTTTTTCTCTTTGCCACCAGATGTCCTTCATGGGTAGGAAAATATGATGGCTCGAATGATATTTTGAAGTGTGAATGCCCTGCATTTTTGAATAGTTGACAGTAAAAGGAAAGTGTGAGTGAATGTAAGTGTTACCACAGACTTTTGGATGAGACATGTATTTTGAAGGCTGTCTTACAGGTGTAGCATTCAGAAGCAATATTTATTTAACTCTCGAATGTTCATTTCTCATACTCTGCAGACATTTACTTACCATATTTCCTTTTCACTCAACTCCAAATGGATATTTTTCAAGTTTGAGCAAATTATTCTATTTAGAAATGAGTATTAAGAAATACTCAAGTCCTTACATTAATGTCGAAGATAAAAATGTAGTATGTGAAGTGGAGTTTCCCAAGGATTCTGGGTGATCAGACCTCAGGCTTTTTCACACAAAAGCTGCATAGCTTAGAACACTTTCACGTTACATGAATTCTAAAAGCAGCTACTTACATCTTGAGGAAAGTCAGTTGAAAGGGGCCAAGGTATGATTTAGCATAAAAGCCAAAGACAGCAATGGCAGTGCCTTGCTTTTAGTACAATTCAAAGGAAAGCACAGAGTATAGAATATTTAACATATCAAATTAATATACCACCTCTTTTAAACGTAGAAACTATTTGGTCATGTGTGTTACGAATGTATCATAGAAACCCTCGTAATATGAAAGGAAAACAGGTAACGGCTCTTTTAAAGACTTTGTTGTGTAAATTTCCCTGCATGTTAACACACACCTGGGTACAGGCTGCTCACCCCATCCCGGTAGCACCAAAGGCGAAGGGTAGACCTTCACTTTAAGGGGAGGGCTCCTCACTCCCTTCAGTGGGCGGGAGTGGGATGGGCAACCCACTTCCAGAAAACTGAAGGCCATCTGCATGACATGTTAGCCAAGCAAGCAGATGTTTGATACGGATTGCTGTCCACATCCGGCTTCTTGACCGAATTCCTCCTCTTTCCACCCAGATGTTCTGGAGACAAGTACAGAGAACTTGGTGGAGCTGGTTCAGGCACACAGAGGAAGGGGCGGGTGATGTTTTCGTGTCCTGCAGGGGGCGTAGTTACCTCTGCTTTTTCTCTGATCACACATCCCAGCCAACTCCAGAGCCAGACCACTTCCTCACCCTCACTCTCTCCCTCCTGAATCATCTGGACTGTGCCCAGCCTCCTGTTCTGCGACTTCTGGGGGCATGTTGGGGACGGTGATGGGGAGGGGCCAGAGAAGCAGGGGTTGGGGGGTGTGGTGGTCAGGGGCCTCTTACCCACCTGGAGCTCTGATTGGCTTGGAGAAGCGGTGGTCCCCATTTTGAGGTTATTAAAATTTCTCTTTATGTACTTTGCCCTTAATGGATCTTAGGTCGCGTCCAAGTGCTTTCTGACACACATGTGCACACGCTGGGAGTGGTGGGGATGGGAGGAGAGCACACCCTCTTCTGGGTCCTCGGATGAATGTCACTGTCTTTATGGTTGTTGTCATAACTCACGCCACGTTTTCCCCTCCAGCTCTTAGGAGAGTCGTGTGCTCTTGTGTTTGTCATCTGGAGACCCCTCGTTTTCTAACACTAAACAACAGGACCCGAGAGGCCATCTTGGAGGAAACGGGAGTCAGGGTGGCTGCCCAGATGTTAATGGATAATGAATCACTAAGTGACATTTTAGACCCCTGTCATGAGTCCATCTGTCTTTCACCAAGTATCTAAGGAAAGGGGAAGGCGGGGTGTTGGTGTGTGTTCTCTGCTGGATCACACATGCATATGTAATACGTACATATGCAGTAGATGGGTCACAACCTTCTCTGTGTTTTAAAGGGCACCACCCTCCCAGGTGCCCTATGCTCAGGGTTTCACAGTCTTCCAGAGTTTCACCCACGGCCCTGACGGGTTGGAGCTACCTTTCCTCTGCTTGTGTCATACTAGAAGTCTCAAGAAGGTGTGACTAGGCTTGAGAGAGGAGGAGGCCCTCGGCAGGAGGCCTGTCTCCACTTGTGATTTCACATCTTCTGATCAGAGCCCCTGCCTGCTGTGATTTTATGGACTGCAGTGATTTCATGCTTGTAACAAGTCCCAGACAGAAGAAAGAAGTGATGGAGGCTCTGGAAATCTAAGGGGCCTGGCATCCCAGGCCACGGAGGGATGTATTTCCTCCTCAGATGAGAGGAATCCCTGCAGACCATCAAGAGAAGGGCTTTCAGTGCCGCTGATGTCGCCCTGCCTGAGCTCAACGGCTCTGGGGCACTTGGAGAGTGAAAGTCTGTCCTAAAGACTACTGTGTCTGGACCAAGACAGAACAACAGCTGGGAGCAATCCAGAGGATGGTGGAATGGTGGGACCCTTACTCATTCCAAAAAGATTCTTTGAAATAAGATAAAAATGCTGATAAGCTCTGGATTAGCAGAAACCTCATGATCTTATAATCTCACAAACCCCATAGTCTCTACGTATTTGGTTGGTCTGGCTCCCAAATGCCTGGTACTATGTGAGGCAAGGCTGCCAGGTCAGCATTGCAGTTTTTTATTTCTATTGCGCACGCTTTCACCAGGTAAAAGATCAGAACGTTTTAAGTGAACTTCCTTCTAGGATCCATTGCTTGCAGGACATTCTTGGATGGGGTAAGGGCCAATGAATCTGCATCTTGAATGGCAGATGGTGGTAGTGTCGTTGGAGTGGAGGGGGCAGTGCCTAACTGAGAAGTGAGCCTGCCATGAAATTATAACGTGTTTTATTTTACATGCTTGATCTTGTCTAATGTTCCCAGCAACCCGAGTTCCAGTGCCCTGCCTATGATCCTGAATGGGAGCATGCCAAGCCCCTACCCTTACTGAAATCACCTTTACCACCTCTCCTCAAGTTTTATTGATCTCGCGTCATGTAAATTCTATTGCAGTTTTGATATATTAAAATGCAACATTAACCAACAAACTGGACAAGCACTGAAACATTTCTAAAAAGCTAGAGTGAGGGTGGGGCTCTTCTATTATACTGTCTGATTACAGCCTTCTTCTTTTGGGTGCTGGTTTAAGAAGCCAAGCCGAAGCCCAGATGAGGAGATAAATCAGAGCTTTCTGTCCTCGCGATGCCAGGTCTGGCTTATATTTGGCCCTCTCTGTGGAGTATGGGGTCAGCTTCTCCAAGGGTATTGTCTCAACTTCCAGCAGCTGCCTTTGGAAGCCACGTGCCCGCTAAATGCCTATATTACATCAGTTAGAGAAACTAAGGAAGGAATGGGAAAACCGTCACTTTTCTGTTCTTTCTCATTTGATTCAGGTGCCATTGATTTAACAGCTGATTTTGCTTTTATTTAGTTAAAGCATCAATTTAGGCCTTTTATGTGATTATAAAAGAGAAAGGTTCCAACTGGGGTGTTGATCAGATCACTCTTCCTAGCGATGACCCCTTTGCCTTTGCTGCCTCGCCGCACCTTGGGTGCCTCCAAGAATTCTCAGTGCTTGAAACCTACGCGCGACGGAGGCGACGCCTCCGGGAGAGGGAGGGTGAAAGAAGGGGGCGGGTCTATTTAAATACAGACGAGACGCGCCTCTCCATTGGCCACCAGCCTGTCCGTTAACCAGAGGGGCGGGGAGTCCCGAGGGCTGGAGTGCGGTACCTGAGTGAGACTCGCACTAGAAAGCCCACGTTGGCCGCTGCGGGGAGCGCGGCGCGGAGAGTGGCGCGGAGAGGCGGGAGACTGCGAATTCCGGCGCCGACGCCGCTGCCGCTGCTCCGCGCACGGGTCTCCTTTCTTCCCGTCCCTTCTACGAGCGGGTGTGCAGGGCAGCTGGGCGAGCACTCAACGGAAAGCAGGATCCTCACCGCCTCTGCTTGGGGAGTCGAGCGGCGCGCGGAGATTTTGAGGGGGAGCGACAGTGCCCGAGGGCGGAGGGGCGCGGAGTTTGTGAGCAAGAAGGAAGTTTAAGCCTCGCGGAGAGGGTTGGCATCTTGAGACGCCTTGCCGCCACGGCCTGGGCCCTACGGCGGGGTAAACTTCACGGCGGCCGTGCGAGCCAGGGAGAGGCGTGCGCGGGGGTGATGCCGGGCATCCCCCCAAGCTGGTGAGCGGCCCCGCTCCCCCGCCGCCCCGAGTCCCACCCAGCCGCTCCGGAGGGCGCAAGGCAGCGCACGTGCGCAGGCAGCCAGACCCGAGAGTGACCGGGTCGTGACCCGCCCAGGGGCGAGAGCGCGGCTGCGGCTCAGCCTCGGCTTGGACGCACCTGGCTTGGACCTTGTGCCTCTCGAGACCTGAGCCGGAGTGTGGTTCTCCCGGGAAGCGCCCCCTTCGCTTCCCCGCCAGCCTGGGCAACTGGGGGCGCCTCAGAAGACCATGAGAGATAAGGACTGAGGGCCAGGAAGGGGAAGCGCGCCCGCCGAGAGGTGGCGGGGGCTGTTCACACCAAGGGCCACAGCGGCCGCGCTCCGGCCTCGCTCCGCCGCTCCACGCCTCCCGGGGCCCGCGGGGCCAGCCCGGCCGGGCGGGGATGCCGGGGCTGGGGCGGAGGGCGCAGTGGCTGTGCTGGTGGTGGGGGCTGCTGTGCAGCTGTTGCGGGCCCCCGCCCCTGCCCGCTGCTGCCGCTGCCGCCGGGGGGGCGCTGCTGGGGGACGGTGGGAGCCCGGGCCACGCGGAGCCGCCGCCGCCGCCGCAGACCTCCTCCTCCTCAGGCTTCCTCTACCGGCGGCTCAAGACGCACGAGAAGCGGGAGATGCAGAAGGAGATCCTGTCCGTGTTGGGGCTCCCTCACCGGCCCCGGCCCCTGCACGGCCTCCAGCAGCCGCAGCCCCCTGCGCTCCCGCAGCAGCAGCAGCCGCGCGGGGAGCCTCCTCCCGGGACGCTAAAGTCTGCTCCCCTCTTCATGCTGGACCTCTACAACGCCCTGTCCGCCGCCGACGACGAGGACCCGGCGTCGGACGAGAAGAAGCGGCAGCCCGGGCCGCGCGGAGGGGCCGGCTCGTCCCAGCTCCGGCAGCCGCCCCCCGGCGCCGCGCATCCCCTGGGCAGTAGGAGCCTCCTGGCCGCCGGACCTGGCGGTGGCGCGTCCCCACTGACCAGCGCGCAGGACAGCGCCTTCCTCAACGACGCTGATATGGTCATGAGCTTTGTGAACCTGGGTAAGGATCTGGGGTAGCGTAACAACCAGAACATTCCTCCCTTTCCAGTCTCCCGGGTCTGGGGAGAGGGTGAGAGGGTGGAGGAGCCCCTGGAACCCGGCTCCGGGATGGCGCAGAGGGGATTCGAGGACAGGCCGGCTGCCCTCCCGCCACCTGCGCGGCCGGGGGCGGCACGTGCGCTCCCCGGGCAGGGCTGCGCAGCGCGGCGGCGGGCGGGCGGGGGCGCGGGTTCCCGGAGTGCTGTGTCCGCGGGCGCGTCTCCATGAGCGGCCGGAGCACAGCCGCGCTTTTCCCTTTGGTGCCCGGCTCGGGCCACGTTAACTCGACTGTGGCAGGAAGGTCCAGCCCGAGTGGAGCCAGCTGGGAAGGAGAAGGTTCTTCAATACTTTCCCCTCCCTGTTTTGTTCTGCATCCTTAATGCTCCGAGTGTGTTTTCCCACCGGGGCTTTTAGGGACTCCGACAGCAGCTGAGAACTTTGGAAACTTGACATGATTGTGTGAAGTGGCATCCACGGAACTGGGGGAGGAGGGTTGCTGAAGGAGGTCCCGAAAGGATCGCGGAATGCGCGCCAGTCCCGGCGAGGCGGGGCTCTCGCGGGTTTGGGGCGGGATCCCGAGCCCAGTTGGGGTTACCCACCCTGTGCCCTCGCTCCCATGCCTTTGGCCAGTGACCCCCAAAGCTGGACTTTTGATCAGTGTTGCTGAAGCTGCAAGAGCAGAGAAAGGGTGCGAGTTGGGGGCCGGGGTTGGGCCCTGAGCTGGTCTGAACCGGTTGCCAGGCAACGGAATGGAAATTCAAGGGCGGCTAAATTGGGCTCAGCCACAAATGTTCTGTGGCAAACCCGAACGGAGTCACAGAGCCTTTTCCCCCTGAGTTTTCTCATCTGTAAATGAGAACGGTGTAAGGAAGACTTTTTCCAGAATCAGTGCCTCTGATTTCTGCTACTCTTGATTCAGAAGTTGGTTCAGCTTAGCGTAGACAAAGCTATGTTGGGGACGCGTTCTGAGAGGGGAGAAGTGGGGGTGCGGTAGCCACGCCCGGGGTGGGGTGCAGCAGCGCCGTGGGGTGAGTCTCTGCGGACTGCCTTTCCCGTTCGAGGCGCGTGGCTCTGCCCAGGTCCCAAAGTGGGTTAGCAGACATTTACCACAGTAGCACCCACGTCTCCGAGCCACGTCGAAGACTTCTGTCTTTTAAGGACATGATTTGCTTGAATGAATCCCATGTGAAATACTCCGGCGAGTTCTTTACAAGTCTGACAGATGATTCGGAACTCCTCTGAGCTTTGGGGGAAGAGAGGAGGGGTGAGGGCCAAGGTGGGGGCAGGTCCAGGAGGATGTGGAGCAGGATGAATGGCATCCAAGTGGGCAGAAATCCTCCTGGGAAACTCATGAAACAGAATGTTACGGGGAGTGGAGGCTCCAGGCCTGCCAGTCTTGCTCCTGGCACTGCCAGGGGTTCTGATTGGACACGAGTTTTCACCATTTATTGGGACCAAATCCAAGGTTGAGCCACCTCCAGGAAGCATTCTAAGGAAATTCTCATGCCACTCAGTTAAGTGTTTGGGGGAAGAGACGGAGGGACCAGTGCTTTTTCTTATTCTACCTTTTGTGCTGCTTCTGGTTTAGTAAATTCCACCCCTTGCCCTCTCCCCCCTGCCCCCTCTCCCCCCTCTGCCCTCCTCCCCCACTGCCCCCTCTCACCCCCTACCAGTTTCCTGACAGCCTTAGGGGACTGTTTCGTTGCCTCTTGGGGGTGGTCCCAACCTGAAAAAAAAGTGGGGAGAATGACACATTCGGCTCCTTCAGAGACAGCCATATTACAGTGTCTAGAAAACAGTTCCCAGTCTTCGGACCGTGGTTCGCAGCCTTGACTGTCCATTAGCGTCTCCCGGGGCCCGGGAAGAAGAGATGCTGGGTTGAGCTGCTTCCCAGAGCAGTTAAAGTGGATTCTTAGTAGATATGTTCTGCCCTTTTTTTTTTTTTTGAGTGCTTTAGGTTTCCCTAAGGTGCTGCCATGGTCCAGAAGCACTGGCACAGGAGACCATGCCGTCTGAAGGAAGTCAGATCATCCTAGAAAGCACTTAAGAGCAATGCTTCCTTATGTCAGTGGCTCTCAAACACTGCTGCCCATGAGAATCACCTGGGGGCTTTTAAAGCCTAAATGCCCAGGTGATGCTCAGTGTCAGTAAAGTCAGTGTATGGGGTGGAAGCCAGGCATCAGTGTGTTTAAGGATCTCCAGGTGATTCCAGTGTTTTGGAACCACTGCCTTAGAAGGTATTTGAAATGGTGAGAGTTGGCTTGAGGCAAGTTTGTCAAGTACAGTGACATTTCCTGTGCTGAGTGACCTCCCAGTTCTCCCTGCTCCTTGCTTTTCTGACCTTCCCTGGTCTGCAGGTCCACACTGCTTCTGAGTCACTGCTTGAAGCCGGTTGTCATCTAATTCTGCTACAGTGATGATTTAACATAGTATCTCCCTAGGGCTATTTTCATTTTCCATAAAGGATCTTTAAAGATGCAATAAATAGCACGGAAAAATTCCAAGAGCACTCAACAATAGTGTAATTTCAGGCCCAGGACAGGCTGATGTGGAACGGAAAGAGACTGCTGGGTAGGGAGCTCTGTCCCAAGCTCCTCCTGTCCTAACTGCTGGGCTTTCTGACCGCAAGTTGTAACTACCTGTTGGTCCAATCCTGGACTCCACATGGGTGTTTAGAAAAGAAAACCTTTTCCAGGTAAGTAGAATCTGAGTCGCAAACCATGCCACCTGCCAGTCAAGCAGTTCTGTTTAATCTTATTCAGGAGGAGAGGAAGATTGCATGACAGGCTAAAATGTGATAAAATCTAATGATCATAGTTCTGAGCGTAAGGACAGTTCACCTGAAGACAGGAATTGCTCTCTAAGGATGTTGGGAGAATTCCGCAGGCTTCTTAATCGGTGTTGATGGCATATTAGTTACTGCCTTACATGACTAAACCTACAGAAAGATACACCTTATAGCATGGATTTTAAAGTGCTCTCATACCGACTGAGTTGGACAAATTACAGAGTATAAGGGAATGTGTGAACTAGTTGTAAACATCCTTCTTCCCTGGAACAGCGAGTAACTTGCTCATGAAATACATTTGAAACACTATGAGCCTTTCAGCGTGGCTATCAGGAAGTATGAATCAACAGGATAAGCTTTTCTTGTGTATCCCAAAGGCTGGTCATTTGACTGGCCCACTGTTGTTGATGTTGACGGTTTTAAACTCTCTCTGGGTGAGAAGTCTGGGGATGTGTAACCTCCGTAGTGCTAACCAGCTGGTGTGCAGTGTGCCCGGCCAACCTGGGTGCGCTCGTGGACCTGCATTCAATCAGGGCCACAGATGGCAGTTTCTGCTTGTTTTCTAATGCTAAAAATGTCTTGGCAGCCGAGTAAGCAAGCCTGCCAATCTGGTGACCTTGGAGAAGTACCCTGAAATATCTCAGGTCTTAGCTTAAAATTTCCCTTAGAGGAGAAGCCTTTTCGAACCACTCCATAGAAGCTGGTGCTGCCTCCACCCCCACCGACGCTTTATCATCACAGCACCCTGTTTATTTCCTTGGTTGCACTTTTTACAAAGAGTGTTTTTTTTTCTTTTAAAATTTGCTTACTCATTTGTTTGTTATCCCTCTAGGATATCAGCCTCCCAAAGCAACTAGGCTTATACACCGCTGTAACCTAAGTTCCTAACATGACACTGAGCACATAAGGCGCTTAAACAAGGTTGAATTCATGAAGATAGACAATTTCCTCATTTAAAATTCTCATTTCACTAATCGAGAAGGGTACACCTGATTTTATTTAGATCATTTAGAAATGGTATATCTGCTTTTTACTAAGTAAAACATTTGAAGTAAGTGAAGATAGGACATTGAGATTCATGGTTTCTGATGTAGATCATAATGGTTTAATATACCTCCTTTTTATTAGTTACATCTCTATATTAATTTGTAATATGCGTTACATTTGATAAGATTTCTTTATCTCTGAATTTCAGACTTCATTTATTTGAATTAGCGAGGTGTTGATCTACAGATGCTAGGATAAAATGAAATAAAAAACCTCAAATTATGGTCAGAAAAGGGAATCAGTATATATTAGTGCAAGTAACAAGAAACTTAATTGTGCTAAAAATACTGACAGTCTTCTGAACAAAACTACTCTTGGGAAACATAAATTAGAAGAAAAAATGGAATACTCCCTACTTGGGTTTGTCACCGGATACACTGTACTGTCTTTTTCTCACAGGTCAGTGGGCCTATTTTTCATGTAAGCTGTCTATACTTATGAAGATTTTTTGTTAGCAGAAAATAAATCCATGCCCCAAGCTATTTACAGCAAAAAGAGTCAGGAGAATTTGACTGCAAGAGTAGGGTTCAAAGAAAGCGGTAGATGGTCTCCTAAAGAGATTTCAAATAGTGAATGTGAAATTCAATGGTGTTTCAACTAGAATGTTGTACAAAGTGTTCTTAAACTCGGATCAAAGGGCAAGCAGATACCATTGTTTAGATCTCAAATGGTGTTTCCTCTGGTTGTCCTTCTAAGAATGGGTATAAATTCTTTCTAAATGTGCTGACTCATGCCTCGTTCCTCCACTGAAGGGCTTGCCTCTGATTAGCATGGAGGAAGGATTCCTAGTGATATAAACACCCGTGTAAGTGAAACCCCACGTTCAGCACTTCCTTCAGAGCGTAACGATTGTGTTTCATCACTCAGGGGCTTCAGAATTTAGCTACTCAAAATGTGGGGTTTCACATCAATATTTTCCTTGGATCTGGGGGTGGGAAGGGGAACACTGAACATTGAAGGTAGGACAGCAGACTCTCAGATCATCAGCCACTGTTATCTCTGCCTCTTGTTTATTTGTGTCTGAAGCTGAGTTAGGAAAGGGAAGAGTACAATTTCTTGAGTAATTTACCAGCGTTTGGTCAATTTTTCACAAGTCGGTTTTCCCACTGTGTCCATCCTATATTTAA